CTATTTTTTGATCATCATTTAACTCAAAATCAATTTATAGTCTCGGAACCCACTTTTAATAGCAAAGCTCCCATATGACTTTATTTTAACTATTAAGACTTTATTTTAATTTAGATTTCTAAAGTCAAACATTATAACTTTTGGTTTTTTATTTTTACTTTATGTATAATTGATATTATTGTTCACACCAAATTCATCTATAGAAGAAAAAGTAAAAAATGTTTTAAAATTATTGCTACAGATTTAGAATGAATAGACAAAAAAAGTAAGAGTTATCACTAAAAATAAGAACTATAATTAATATGTTATAACATATCGTAAATTTGAAATTAATTGCTATACTATCTTTAGTTATTACAAATCAAATTACAAATTTAATAATAAAAAAGATATTTTATATTAGCAATAAATAAACAATATAAAATAATTAAATTAAATTAAAAAGAAAATATAAGTTATATATGAAAATTAGGTTATAAGACATAGTAAATCATATGATTTAAACCTGAATTTTAATAGTATACCTTCTATATACCTAATTTTCATTTTTTAAATAATTACTTTTTCTTTTTATATTTCATAATTCAAAATAAGTAAATTTTAATTTATTGTTTATTTTAACACATTTAATTTAAAAATACTTTATACAATTACTTTTATAGATTTTCTTAAACTTTTATATTATTTTAATTATATTATTAGTTTTTCTAATTTAGTTAAAATAATACTATCAATGAAAAGCTATATCTTAAGCTTATAAAGAGTTATTATTTCTGTTTAATTGCATTTATTAATTAAAATATTTATAAAAAGTTTCTTATTTACTTTTTTTATTAAAAAATTATTTTTTGTATTTTATATAAAATTAATTTGAAAAACTAATTCTATTATTTTAGAAAATAATTTTCTTCAAATAAAATATATTCTTAAAAAAAAAGTTATTTTTAAAGTGAAATTTTATATTAATGTAAAAAAAAGTAAATACTTAAAGGGTCAAAATAATTGAGCATATAATGATTTATTTATTTCTTTAGATTTAATTAGAGTTACATGAAATATTTTAATATATGTGATATTTTTGATAACTGATATCCTTTATATAATATAGAATAACAATAATTATTTTTTTGATTCTTTCTACACAAGTTTTACTTTTAACTAAAAACTCTAAATGAAACAAATTTGTTGACTATTCTATTTTATATATACATAAATTCTTTAAGTCAAATTGTAATGTATAATCTAATAAAGAAAATAGTGGTGAAAGTTTAGATATTTTTTAATAGTAAATATATGTTAACAATAAATTTTATTATTTTATTGATAGCAAGTATATAAAACAAAATAAATAATGTTATTTGCGAAAATAAATGCTGATAGCATCTTTTAAAACAAAAGAAATAACAAAGATAACAATTCAAGCCAAAAAACATTGTGTAATAAACTAAATATTAGAATTACTTTTTTAATCAAACTTATTTCTATCTTTTTTTTATTAAAAAAAGATAAGAAATAGCTTGTATATTTGTGATTGAAGATTTGTAAAGATTGTTAATATTTTTATTCAAAACTAAAATTTTGTAGTTTAGATTTACTAAAACTAGATTAGTTAATAAAAGAAACTTTAATAAAAACCAGTTTTAGATAGCATCTTTATTATTTACAATCATTCACATTAGAAATTTCTAAATACTTAAACAAACTTAATAAAGAATAAAATCAGATATTATTATTCTATAATAATTGCTGAATTACAATATAATAAGTCATTTACATAGTTATAAAATTTTACATTTAAGTGGTATTATATATATATCTTATAATTTTCATTCTAAGTTTTTTTTTAAAAAAATATTTCTTCAGTATATATTATTTAGCTATATATATCTATTTTCTATAAATACACTAATATCTCTTCTGTGATCTTATCTTTTTAGAAAAAGATTAAATACGTTGTTAGTAATTGTCTTGTTATAACATATGATATTGCATCAAATATAGTAGATTATGATTCTTAACTTTCTATCATTTTTGTAATTTCTCTAATTTCTATAATTTCTTAGTTTTTAGTGATTTATAATTTCTTACATTACTTTAATATATTTAATTTCTTTATTTTATTATATTTATTATATTTCTTTACTTTATTAAATATCTATTTCATATTGGTTTATTTTATATAAATATTCTGTATTTTTGCCTTAATAAAAGGGTAGAGTCATTACAAATTTCTAATAAAACAAATACATTTATCTCTAAAGCTTATCTTTGCTCATTTATAATTCATTCTTCTTTAAATATATATCAATAAAGATGACCTGAACCTTCAATATAAATAATTTGTGTTTATTTCTTTCATAATTTAGATACTTAAACTTTCTGTTAGCAAATAATCTCTATTAATTTAATAATAAACAATTAACTGTTTAAGCTTAACAACATTTATTTTAATTGAAATAGAAATTAATAAAAATCTCTGGTATTTGTAAAAGATTCTCAGAGATGAGTTTATATTTTGTGAAAAAATGTTATATTTATCAATTTTTATGCCTTCTTATTTCTCTTCAAATAATATGACAATCAACATATCTTATGAACATAATTCAGATAAAAAAAATTTGCCAAAAATTCTAATTATGAGGTTAAAGTAAGAATGTTCCATCTTCACATATAATTATTTGATTAATCACCAAATTGTACTCTGTGATAATATTTTAAAAATTGTAAAATAACTATCGCAATATCATTTAGTCAATTAATTCAATACGCCACTAGAAAATGATATAATAATTTCATTTAGTGATTAGTTTTAACTAAAAATTTAATGTGCTTATCTAAACTGTATGTTACCTTTTTGTTTTCATTATTTCCATTTCTATGACAAGAAACTTCTTGGGTTCCATCAGCAAATGATATGGAATTGCTATAAAGTGCTGGCTTATTGGTTGTGATATGAAAAAGATAAATTATATCACCATTCATTAAATACTCCGATTCATCTTTAGTTGAATTATATCGTTGAATAAAAAAATCATCATCACAACTTATACCAGGATTGATGGTCACTAACATTATATATATAAAAAAAGGTTACTTAACATTCTTATATACATAAGATTAAATAGAAAAGCCAAACATTACCATGTTGCTGCTTTGATATCGGTGTAATTCTTCCATCATTCATATTATGAGAATGTAAATTTCCTCCTGTCGATTGATGATTAAATCCAACAATTGTATTAAAAGGCACAGGACTTCCCGCATTTACACTCGTACCATAGGGTCCAATAACAGTCCAAACATCATTTTTCAAATCGATTTCCCGACCATTACCAACAACCTTTATAAGTAATATAAATTAATTTTGCAATATTATTCTTAATCATTTTTTATTATAAATAATAATAATAATAATGTTAAATACCATATATTGGTTAATTTTTTTATATTTGATTCCTTTAGTAGACAAATACTTATTAGTAGCTACATGAACAAGGGCAACCTTCGAGCCATAAACAATTAATTTGTTCTGAAATTCATTTTTTCAAAAAAGTTAAGTAAGCTAGCCTTAAATGTAAATGACACGGAATTCTAAAAAATCTTACACAAAAATCTTCCTTCACTTCTTGTACTTAAACGCCAGTTGAAATAGCGAACATTACTATATTATAAAATGATTATTAAGTATTTTTTAAATCATATTGCTATGATAAGTCATACCTAATTACGCCATTAAACCCATTGGCGAAAGCACGTCCGATATACAGAGGTCCGTCATTAAAGACAACATTTTGCTTTTTAACGTCCTGGATACAATAGAATCCGACCCATTCACTGTCTATGTAAAGATCTAACCGTTTTTCAGAGTCAGAAAGAGTATAAGTTAGATGGTACCATTTGTCTAACAAAAGTCCGTCACCGAGCTCTTCAATTCCTGCACTTTTATCCCAATTTCCTGAGAAGCGAGCATGCAATGCGGATCTGTTTGCCGACAGCCAATAACCAGGCGTACGAACCGAATCTTCGGTTCCTAAATATAATATTTTATTTGAAACTGAGTACCAAGTTTCTAAGAAAATCACCATTTCTTACCTTTGTGAAAAATAGTAGCCCAATTAGATCTATGACTCCGAAGTTTTAGTCGTAATGTCACAGAAAGTTCATCTTTCACCACAGGTAAGTTTACATGTTCAAAGATTTGTTGAGTATGTTCATTAAAGATAATTTGGTCTGAAATAAGCTCTGCCCATTCCCTTTTCATTTTTGAACTATTTATCAATCAATAGGATATAAAATAACGATTTCTTTCAATAGTTAAATTAAAGCCACCATAAAATTTTTAGATAAATAAATAAAATACATTGTGCGGATTAAAAAAAAAAAAAAAAAATATTGCTGCCAATACTTATATAAACGGTTACACATGAATTAAGAATATGTACGATCAGCTGATGATCTATATTGTTTGTGTAAATATAAAAAGAATTTACTTAGCTGATACAGAGATTTTTGCTTTATTTTTATTAAAATAAAAATATTGTTGATTTAATTTCAGAAGTTTGTAGAATCTAGATATTAATCCATTAGAATTCATCGACGTTAAAATTTCTATATGACTCAATATTGAAGTAGAATAAATATTATAAAAAGCTGTTGAATTTCAATAGTATATTTAGCATATTGATACGCTGTTAATTACAGATAGGCAAATAATATTTTATTAACGTTAAATGTAAATGAAATAAATTTTGATATTTAAAAAATAAATTTGAAAACAAGCGATTCTAATAAATTAACGGAGATTTCATATTCGGCATTTGGAAACCTCATTTTTAATACATTCTAATTGGTTATATCAAAATAAAAAAATTTTGATGATAAAGATTTAATGAATTAATAATTTCATTCATAGGGATAAATAAAAAGCTCAAAATTTTCCCGCTTCCAGATAAAGTAGGGATTTTTAATAATTATATTTTTATCATTATAAAAACTATATATTACAGTATTTTAATTTAGCATACATAAATAAGTTGAAACTAAATAATTTTATTCCATTTTGAAGCACCCAAGAATTACGTCTCAAATTGGTTAATTAATCATAGAATTAATAATAGAGAAATTAGCGAAAACACTTTCATCAAATCCAAAATCCATTATTCTGGCGTAAAAAAAAAACTCGCAACTTACAATATATCGATATGAAAACACTAGAGTTAACGCAATGATGGTTCCCACCAAGACTGCTTTTCTAAATAATTTCAAGATAATTGGTTCTTTTTGTTATTAAAGGTCTACTTCGAATTTAAAGTGGTCTGTCATCGGAACTCTAAAATGTCAATTAATTTGGCGACATATGTATATCTTTTTATTCAATATAAATATAACAAAATGTAATAATAAAAACGAATCGTTTACACATAATGGAAAAAACAAAAAGAGAAATTTATAAATAAAAAAAAAGATAAGTTCTTTTTTTTTCCTAACAGACAGATGATTCACAGGTTTTTATACGATCTTGTTTTCAATTACTAATAATAGATTTCGTAAATTTTTAAGAAGAAAAAGAACCCTACTTATAAATTTCCAATTCATTAATTTATCAATATTAATCTTTTTTATTAAAAATTCTTTGGATCAGCATTCTATTTACAAAAATTCAAAATTCTCAAAAATAAGGTTAGCTGATCGTAAATAAAAAAAATCAACCAAAAAAAGTTTCTTAATGGGGTAATATCAAGTTTAAGGAACATTTTTTTTTTTTCAAATACTTTTATTCATTTCATAGTGGCTTTATTTTAAATAAAACTCTATAACGATAATATATCCAATTGATAAATTTTTTTCCTAAAAATGAAAAAGGAATGGGCAGAGCTTATTTCACACCCAATTACTCTTAATAAAAAATTCTCAACGAGTCTTTGAACATGTAAACTTGCCTGTAGTGAAAGATGAATTTTCTGTGACATTACGACTAAAACTTCGGAGTCATATGTCTAATTGGGCTACTATTTTTCACAAAGGTAAGAAATGGTGATTTTCTTAGAAACTTGGTACTCAGTTTCAAATAAATATTATATTTAGGAACCGAAGATTTGGTTCGTACGCCTGGTTTTTGGCTTACGGAAAACAGATCCGCATTGCATGCTCGTTTCTCAGGAAATTGGAATTGTAATGCAGGAATTGATGGTCTTGGCGGACTTTTGTTAGACAAGTGGTACCATCTAACTTATACACTTTCTGACTCAGAAAAGCGGTTAGATCTGTACATAGACAGCGAATGGGTCGGATTCTATAGTATCCAGGACGTTAAAACGCAAAAGGTTGTCTTTAATGACGGACCATTGTATATCGGACGTGCTTTCGCCAATGGGTTCAATGGCGTAATTAGGTATGACTTATTATGATAATTGAGTTAATCTATTATTACAAAAAATTTTAATCATTTATCAAATAGCAATGTTCGATATTTCAACTGGCGTTTATGTGCCCAAGAAGTGAAATAAGATTTTTTTGTAAGATGCATTTGTATTCCATTCGCATAATGAACTTTTAAGACATCTCGCTCTGACAACCTTTATTTAAATAATTGGTTCCAGAACAAACTAATTTTATATGGCTCGAAGATTGCCCTCGTTATTGTATCTACTAATAAATATTTGTCTATTAAAGGAAATAAATATGAAAAAATCAACCAATATATGGTATTTAAAAATTATTTTTATTTTTATTATTATTATTATTGTAATTATTATTATTTAGTTTATTTTACATAACTAACAAAGATTGTTGGCAATGGTCGGAAAATTGATTTGGATAATGATGTTTGGACTGTTATTGGACAGTATGGTACAAGTGTAATTGCAGGAAGCCCCGTGCCTTTAAATACAATTATTGGATTTAACCATCAAGCGACAGGAGGAAATTTACATTCTCATGATATGAATGATGGGAGAATTACACCGATATCAAAGCAGCAAAAAGGTTTTGTTTGGCATTTTCTATGGCATATTTTGTATATAAGAATATAAAAGCAACCTTCTTATACTAGTAACTTATATATTATAATATTTAGTGACCATTAATCCTGGTATAAGTCGTGACAATGATTTTCTTATTCAACGATATAATTCAAAATCTTCTAAAGATGACCCGGGGTATTTGATGAATGGTGATATAATCTGTCTTTTTCATATTACAACCAATAAGCCAGCAGCACTTTATAGCCATTCCGTATTGTTTGGTGATGGAACCCAAGAAGTTTCTTTTCATGGAAATGGTAATGACGAAAATAGTAAGGTAACATTCAGTTTAGATAGACACATTATATTTTTAATTTGAACTAACCGCTAAATGAAATTTATATCATGATTTTCTAGTGGCGTATTGAATTAATTGATTGAAATAGTATTATTTTATAAATTTTCAATATGATCTCAGACTTCTAAAAATTTGGTGATTAATCAAATATGCAATGAAAATATTTTTTTATCTGAAACTTGAAACATTGTTTCATAATATTCGACAAATTAGAATTATTATGTAAATCAAGATTTTATTTTAACTTTTATAATTTGCAATTAAAGCTATTTTATATTATTTCCTGAAAGCTTGTACGATGTCTAATTCTCTTTAAATAAAACTGTATTTAGTTATCCATTTTCTCGTAAGATTATAATTTTGATAATGACTTGTTAATACATTCTGTAATTCATGACTAGTTACAAAATAAAATAGACTTAACTTATACTTTTCTCCAAATTTTTCTTTCATGAAATATTTTTATTACCTAATAATTTTAAATAACGAAATTTCATTTTTCTTACCACCCTCCATACTTGCGAAATATACTATATTTTATTTATAAATATGTAGAGGTGTTCCTGATTTGAGCATCAAATAGAAGCTCGCAAATAATAATGGATTTTTGGTCATAATGCTTGAACAACATTTCTGTTCACAAGCTATATGGTATGCTCTGAACGGCTCCTAAAATTGTTCCAAAATAGTCAAGAAAGAAATAAATAAATAAATAAATTCCCGCTGTTTCTAATCTAACGCTTAATATACCTTATTTCAGAAATCTTCTACAAAAAATCATAATAATTTTTTACAATATTTAAATCCATTAATAGAACGAAAATGTTAACATTTAATTCAAAATACTATTTTTGTTCAAATATATTTAAATTTGCCTGAACCATATTCTCAATTGATACAAAATATCGCTCTACTCCTTTAATTCACTGATATTTCTTGCTTTTGAATCCTAACAAAACGAAGGCTATTTATAATGAATTTTGCCTACTAAGTTCTACCACGGCATTTTCTTAAAAATTTGTTAATCGAGGCTGATGAATGATGGCATAAAAGGCCAAAATGACAGAACTGGCAGGGCCTATAAAAAAGTTAATCAGTGTTTGTTTTCCATGTTTTTTTTCCGTGAAGGGCTCATTTTCACGGATAATTGTAAAAGCCACGAAGAAATAATGGAAATAGTCAGGAAAAAAATTTTTTAGAACCGGTCTAAAGATCCTTAACTGGTGTCAACTCGACGATTGGCGCAGCAACTGCGGTGCATTTCAAAAATGTCTGCTATATCAAACTGTTTTACATATCTTATTTATTTTATTTATCTGTTTTATTTATTATATTTATTTTATTCATTATATTGGTTTTATTTGTTTAAAATTTATTAGTTTGCTAGTAAATGGAAACAACGAATTTGTATAAATATATCAGGAATTCAATCTAGAGAAAACAGAGAAAATTGCAAGTCGTAAAAGATTCTCTCAAAAAATTTAATTAGACTATTCTAGTTTGTGATAATAAGTCTAAAGAAAGGCTTGTGGAATTCCTAATTAATAAAGTTGTTTATTTTACCCTTTCAATCTACTTTGTGTCTTCATAAAGGTTTTGATACGATAACTAACTACACTAGCGAATCGTAATTAAATACTACATAAATTATACATCGAACGAACTAAATAAATAGTAAATACGTGTTTGTTGACTGTAGAAAGAAAGGAAATTCGGGTCAACACCGGTTAAAAATTAACGGTTCTAACTTCTAGGGTCCTAAAATGTCACAATTATCATAACCGCCAGAAATGACAGAATTTGTGCAGCAATCGATACAATACATTAACAATTAAAGAGTATTTATGCTCCAGAAGATAAGTATCATGTCAATCTCAGAATATTTAACTGAACGGCGTCTTTTGTTCGACGGAATTGACGAAATTTAACGCTCAAACTCAAGAAGTGTTTACACTTGGAATTGTATCCCGTAGGCCTTTCCTAAGGGATATATCAACAAATTAATGATTTGTTAGATTCATTTGTGTAGTGAGTTATCACAAGCGGAGTCTATATGAGGACAAGAGAAAGTGTAATATAGTATTTTTATTTAATATTAGAGCCAATAAGCCTTTCGCCAAGACTTATATTCAGGCATATAAATACTAAATTATATACTACGTATATATATAAACTATAATAAATTAAAGAAATAATTTAAAAGCCGAAATAGAACTACCTTTCGTATTTGATAAAATAGCCAAGTAAAAGATGCATGATTTCTATGACACTCGTCGCAGTCGTCGCAGTATTTCGACGTAAATTTTTTTCGAGTTTAACAACCTTTATAGATCAGATTGTAATAAAAAAGCAATGAAATAAGCTAAGTTACTTCATAATTCTTCCATATGTTTATATAAGAATATAAGTAATCATTTTATATATGAAACTTATTCTTGGATTAAATACATTAAATATTATACATTATAAGTCGTGTCGTAAAGATGATTTCTTATTCAACGTTATAATTCAAAAGCTTCTAAAGATGGCTCGGGTATTCTGATGAATGGTGTTAGTATTTACCTTTTTCATATCATAAGAAATAAGCCAGCACTTTATAGCAATTCCATATTGTTTAGTGATGGAGCCCAAAAAGTTTCCTGTCATGGAAATGAAATGACGAAAATAATAAGATAATACACAGTTTAGATAGGCACATTATATTAGTTAAAATCAATCACTAAATGAAATTAATATAATGATTTCTAGTGGCGTATTGAATTAATTTTCTGATATTAAATGTAAAGCAGATTATTGTTGGCAACATATTTTTTAAATATTTTAAAAATATATTATGAATTGTTAATGATTTAAGACTTTTAAAATACTCTAAACAAATTATGTGTTCATTCCTTCGTTTTTTCCTTCAATTTGGCTTTAAAAAACCCCGTCACTTAAAGAATAAAACCAATAACTAATTTCATCTCGAATGAAAATATTTACGCGTGTTTTATCGACAAATATTTTCGCATATACATAATACTTCTGCGCCAAAATTTTAGTATACGATTAATACGATTATATATTGAGATCACGGAAGAGTTTTTGGTATATTTTGGGAAACCTTATGAATTTTTCGGATATAAGTTGTCAAGACCGATAAGATTGTATATACATGTATCTTTACAATAGTAAGGGCCAAAAAAAATTTAAATTTTTTGAAACTTGGTTGCTAGAGTGGAAGCATTAAGCGACAATTCAGCATTAAACAAGAGGACAATTTAGAGCGGTTCATGCATGAACAAATTGTTGGTAACCGCGCTTAGGAAAAAAATATTTTAGATTCTCGTGACATTGTCACCCGGTTTTTTTTATATTATATAAATTTTTTTATATGTATTTTAATTTATATGTAAAAGTTTAAGGTAGACGGTAAATAATATTCTCTATCGTGCGCTGAATTCTATTGTTTGCTAAAAGGAGAAAGTGATGTTGATCAATAGCAAAGGACGTAAAATTGACATCACGTGTGGCGCAGCCATTAAAATTCATAGTTCAACATCAAAATCTATCATTAAAATTATTACAAACCAATCATAGATTTATAATAAAAAATATAGTTCTCTGGCTGTCTATGGATTATAGAATCGGCTCAAAATGAGTCGAAAAATGGAACCGGAACCGAATCAAGTCATAAAAAATTATGACGATCACTATTATCGTTTGATGACCAATCAAATTTTAGCGGTGATCTATCCATTTTAGGGGATTAATTTTTTTTTTAAAAATGACATATAATTTACGGTGGCTTCAATTTAAACAAAACGATATTATTTTTATTTCCTCAAAAATGAAGAAAGAATTTATAGAGCTCATTTCGGACCCTATTATATTTAATGAACAATCTCAACGAGTCTTTAAACATGCTGACTTGCCTATGGTAAGAAACGAGCTTTCAGTGACGCTACGACTTAAGCTTCAGAGCCATACTCCCTATTGGGCTGTTGTATTTCACAAAGGTAGGACTGCTGTTATCTTAAATACTTTTTTTTGTTATCTTAAATAAAATGCACTTATATGCATAGGCACCGAGTGGTTAATCCGTACTCCTAGGCTCGTGTTGATACCAAATAAATCATCATTGCATGCTCGCTTCTCAGGAAAATTAAAGAATAATTTAGGAATTGATGAGCTCGGCGACGGACTTTTGTTAGATAAATGGTATCATATAGCATATACACTGTCTGATTCTAAAAAGAGATTAGACATCTATATTGACGGTGAATGGGTCGGATTCTATGGTATTCAAGATGTTAAATCGGAACAAGTTGTATTCAATGACGGACCATTATATATTGGACGTACTTCCGACCATGGAAGTTTTATTGGCAAAATTAGGTATGAACAACATCGTAATAAGGTTAATCTATATCACAAAAATTTTAATCAATTAATCAATTAGCAATGTTCGCTATTTCAACTGGCGTTTATGTGCCCAAGAAGTGAAGGAAGATTTTTTTGTAAGATGTACTTGTATTTCATTCACATCTTGAAATTTTAAGACATCTCCCTCTGACAACTTTTATTTAATTAATTGATTTCAGAACAAACTAATTTTATATGGTTCGAAGATTGCCCTTGTTCATGTATCTACTAATAAATATTTGTCTACTAAAGGAAAAAAATATGACAAAATCAACCAATATATGGTATTAAACATTATTATTCTATTATTTATTTTTTAGATTAAAAAAGCTTATATTTGCAAAATTTATTTACATGATTTACAAAGGTTGTTGGTAATGGTCGGGAAATTGATTTGAAAAATGATGTTTGGACTTTTATTGGACCCTCTGGTACAAGTGTAATTGCAGAAAACCCAGTGCCTTTTAATACAATTATTGGATTTAACCATCAAGCGACAGGAGGAAATTTACATTCTCATGATATGAATGATGGGAGAATCACACCGATATCAAAGCAGCAACAAGGTATGTAATCTTTTGTATATAAGAATATAAAAGTAATCTTTTTATATAATTATAACTTAAAATATATAATATTTAGTGACCATCAATCCTGGTAGAAGTCGTGACGATAATCGTGACGATGAATTTTTTATTCAACGTTATAATTCAAAAGCTTTTAAAGATCACCCGGTGTATTTGATGAATGGTGATGAAGTCTGCCTTTTTCATATTACGACCAATAAGCCAGCACTTTATAGCAATTCCATATTGTTTAGTGATGGAACCCAAGAAGTTTCTTGTCATGGAAATGGAAATGACGAAAATAATAAGGTACGTACTTTACAGTTAATGTAAAATGTAATATGTTCATTTATACACTTACTGTAATGATATATTTTAAACTTTTATTTAGTGGCGTATTGAATTAGTTGATTAATATAAAAATAGAGAGTAGACCATTCACAATATTCCGAAATTTTTTTAAATGTCGTAAATTATTATTTAACTAATAGCAAATTTATTAGCTTCAAATAATCCATAATTATAAACTAAACCAACAATAATATAGATGCTAATGGTCATGCTTGATATCGGTCGGTTAAAGGCTTCTGACCGGCCGATTTTGACCGATTTTACTGGCTGTTTTAATTTTTATCAAATTAATTGAACACATTTAATTAATTAAAATTTTATTAATTTTTCAAAATCATAAACTTATAAAATAATTTAAAATGTGTAATGCAGTAAAGATTATCATATAAATACTCATTAACTATAATTTTTAAATTTTTACATAACTTAAATTTGGATTCTTGTAGTTTCGAATCTATGGAACAACTTTAATTAGACTACCAAAAGTGATTAACATTGACTAAAGCGTTATATGCTGAAGCAAAAAAATAAATAAACGAATCAGAAATATTATGAAAGTGTATGTTATTTTATGAATTTTAATCCAATCCGAATGAATTAGATACATACAAAAAAAATTGATTCTTATATTTCAACAAATAATGCTTAAAATAATCAATAGACTCGACTTATTATGTTCTATTCAATAAGCCTATAATTAACGTTTACAAAATAATATAAACAATATTTAAATTATCATATTGTAATAAATACTAATTCAGGAATAAAAATATTTCGCAATTATAAGATAGTGAGATAATATGTTTTAAAGTAGAGGTTGGAACAGGTTAATTAACCGGTTATAAGACGTTTATCTTGTTAACCGTCAAAGTTTTTTTTTTAACCGATCAAGATATCTAATATTAACACTGGCCGAAATTTAATTCGGGCAAAATTAAAATTCGCTAGTTTTGCCCAAATTTATAGTGCCGGCCTGAGTTAAATTTAACCGGTTAATTACCGGTTATTAACGGGTTAAGGATTTTTCCAACCTCTATTTAAAGTAGTATTAAAAGTATTTTATATATAAAAAAGTTTAAATTTAAACTTTTAAATATCACTGAGAAATATTAATTAGGTATATATTTTAACAAGCATAACTTTTTAATATTTTCTTATCAATACGATCAGCAGTAATGTAACCCAATAAATTTTTTTCGTCGACTCAGCTAATTTTAAATGTTTTAACAAAATAAGTAATACAAATACCACAACGAAGAGGTCTGTTTCACCACAAATTAAATTAAGGTATTTTTAATTTATTAAATTTTTAAGTAACATAATGAATGATTCATTAAAACATAAAGATCCTATTTTTAACAAAAACTTATTGAAGATGTAATCTTGCGTAGATCAATCACATAATTATGCATTTTTTTGCATTTTTTAAATTAGCATTGCCGGGAATTCGCAAAATACCAATAACTTTTAGTTTTCGATTTTGATACCATTTATAGCCAAATATTCCGATTATCATAAAAGATATGGTACCTAAAACTCCGCTTATTATACCAATTATAACTTTCGTCTTAGTTAATTGACCATCATTAGCTTTTGGAGATGCCAAAGGTATATTGGTTGTAGTTTTCGAAGGAGGATTCGTTAAACTTGTATTTAAAGGCTCAAATTTATTAACCCAAGTATAATTTTTAGTATTCAACAAAAAGATTTTTTTCGACCAAGAACTTTCTGCTAATCCAATAGGATGAGTAAGACAACCTATAAAATTCAATGAATTTATAATTAGATTATTTCAAAATAGAAATTTGAAAAAATTACGTATAAAGGATACTTACCAAAAGACACAATCATATAATTTTCAAATACATTAGCTGTATGAAAAGCAAGTGATGGAAATTCGTCAATATTTGATGATTTTTGCGGTACGATCCATTCATATGGAGACGGTTGAGTATTCAATACAGCCAGGTCTGGTATGGCTTTCATATACTTAAGAAATTCGCCTTTCATCCCACCATTTATAATTATAGTTCCATCTTGAGCTATATTAATTAATAAATGGATGTTAATATGTGGCAAAACAATAAACATGATAAGGAGCTATAATAACCTAATACGGCTGTATGACCGAAACGGGATTCAACTTGATAAGTGCTTCTTGCTTGCTTAAAAAAAACATTTAAGTTTTAAATCTTAATTAAGTATTTAAACAAATTAATTAGTATAATTATTTACTTACCATTACTGACCACTTGTCATGTATTGTATCATAAAGGTTTATTTGATTAATATCTACTTCCTTTTCAATATTGTCATATTCCAAACCCCCGATATATAAAATCATACCATTCGGTAATAATGTTGCAGTATATAAATATCGTTTTAAAGGAGAATTAGTAATAGTACCATATGACAACGTTAAATCATTAGTATTTAATATTATCATGTCTTGACTCATTTCTAATCCTGTTGACCCATCAAAAAGTCCACCAAAAACATAAATTTTTCCAGTCTCATCAACGACCGCTTGAATATACGATCTTCTCACTGTTTCTGTTCCTTTAATTTTAGGAATCTTCCATTGCCCAGATTGTAGATTAAATGTATATACTAGTGAAGTAAAGGCACTTCCACCAACTTGATCTAAATTTACTCCTCCAATAAGGAATATTATCGGGTTATTATTTTTATCATTTATTGCAACCGTAGTTGCCCAACTACTTTTAAATCCTATTCCTGAATTTGATGTGAGGTCGGTCCATGGTGGAAGCTCTGTGTCAAATTTTTGTGACAAATCGAGATAGAATACTTCATTTGTATAATTTCTTCCATCATAACCACCAAAAAAATATATCTTATTCCCAACAAGGACAGATGAATGACCATAACGTTCTACAGGTGTAAATGACTCAACTATAAGGAGCAAATAAATAATTATGAAAATGAAGTGTAAATTAATTAATTTATTATCTTTTTTGTAAACCATAATTAATTCAATTAATAATTTTAAAAAAAAAATTATTTATTTTTTTTTTTTTTTCAAAAGTATTTTTAAATTCATAATAATTCTTTATTTATTAAATTTTGAATTCATTATGATCCTTTATTTATTAAATTTACTTAACACTGCATATCATTTTGACGCGATAGGTTTTTTTTTTTTAATTTACATGACGATCTTGTAATCTTTAAATGCAAATTTCCATAATTAGAATGTTTGTTTTTGAGCTACAAAAATGCCGTGTAACATGAATTTAATTCGTACTTTCTGATCAACCATTATTTTATTTCTTTTTTTTGAGAAATAATAAACAATTAATAACTTTAAGTTGTATATAATTAAATATATTTCGAATTATAGAACAACACTTTAGTTTCTTAGAATATTTTAAATCTTATTCGATAGTTAAGTGTATAAATTATCCATCTAGAAAGTAAAAAATGAAAATAAGATATTTAATGGCAAAATAAAGTAGCCAGCAATATAAATGGTTCAGCCTATGAAAAATATTATACAATATGGTTCTACAGTATTGTACAGGTAAAGTACATAAACGTACAGTATTTGTGCAGTATTTGTCAAATGAAAATTTTAGTAAAGATAAAATTCGAAATTTGAATTGAAAATTGCATACTGAAAGCATATGTGCTACAGTTTATTTTGAGCAGGAGTGCTAACATAGAAGAAAACTCCGAATATTAGGATTTTGGGTAGGATGGTATCTTTATTTAAATAAATTATTTTGACAATTAAGCAAGCACAATAAAAATTGTAGTTTCTCGCAACCGTGTCAGATTTTCCAAATTTCAAAACTTAAAAACATTAAAATAAATAATCGTGTTTTAAAAATCAATTCTAAACAATTTCGCAATTTTTGGAAATACTTGAAAATAAAAGATCTATAACAATTTTTTTGTAATATTTTTAACATTCACAATAAAAAAATTTCCGTCTCATTTAAATTTATTTGAGAAACTAAATAAATTCATTTCTAATATTTCCATAAACAAAGATTAAAGCCGTGTGATAATCTCAACAAATTAGTAATATAAACAGATCGTTTGCTATTTAAAAATCTTAGTTACAGAACTGATCCCAAACGTGATTTTAGTAATCAACCCACATATAACGATTTGCGCAAGAAAGCATTGTAAATTTGTAAATTTGCGTTACGAAGTACTTAGTAATTAGAGTCGCAAATATTCAGGGGACTTTGTTTTCTTAGTGACACAAATTTAATTATAAAACGGATTGCATTAGTGTTTACAAATTAGAATGGTGGCAAATAAATAATAAAAAAATATCTGTAAACACATTAATCTAATAAAAAACTATTTATCAAAAAAAAAAAAAATATTGGATTTGAAGTCGATATCAGGTTAATCGAGTTTATATAAATATTAATATATAACTACAAAGAACTAAATCATTGCTAAATCCATACATATAAGATCAAAATATTTTAACTAGCGTTTATTTTGAAATTTTGTTTGTCCTTTAAGAACGAAAACCCTTTTTTTCTAAGCGCGCGGCAATCGGTGCTCGCCTACTGATGTTTTTTTACTTCTTTAGCCCTTGCTTAATAATATTAACGAATTTTTTTTATAACCTTATAAAATTAATAATCGTCCAATAGGAACAAATATTTATTCAACATCCTCTTATAAACAAATATATAATATATAAATATTTGAATATCAATAAGATTTCTTAAATTAATGTGGAATTTGCCTAAAATGTATCCATATGTAGAGACTATGATATTAAACATTCTATATTGAAACGCAACGTCATGACTAGTGCTCCGAAAGGTCGAATCGAGCAGCAGATCCAGATGTAAAAAAGTCTTAATTCGAACCCGACCCGACCCGACCCTTTCGAAGTACTAGTCGGAACGATGAAAATATAATTGTTAAATTTCTCGCTTTATCAAGAGCTAGAGATCTAAGTTGCTTGTAATACAAAATTTTAAAATTTTAGTTTTAAAATGAATTTTCTTTTGAATTAATTAATAAATTATCGTTTTACTCTGGCATTTCCTCATCATCATTTTCTTTATTAAGTGACATAGTTAAGGACAGTGTTTGGTTCTGAAGTCTAAATTTCTATTGTTCTATTGTTAAAGAGACTGAGTTCTTGTGGCACAGGAAAACCGCAAGTAATAACTAGCCTAGTGGCACCGAAAATTTTCGCGATCACGTGATATGCAATTATTTATCACTCACATCACACCCTGCCGTGATTCATTTTTGAAATACAATACATACTATCCGTCACACCCTATAGATTTAGGTTAGAGGTTATGCCTTTTATCACGTGATAGAGAAATTTTTGTTGGTGCCACAGTGGTCAGTGAATTGATTGAATTTCATCCGTGTCAAAATTTAGATGTCGTCATCGGAGGATATATGACAAGTCAGAGGTTATTTCTTTTTTTGCATAATGAACTAGAACAATTTCGTGAACTTGACTATTGTCGATTCTAGAATCTCGGAGTACTTTTTCAATAGGTTTCATTTGGAAAATTCTTTGATTAAATTCCTCAAATTTGTTCAATATTTGATTTGATTTGATTTGAGAAATCCTAGTAAATATATTGCTAGTCGATTTTCTAATATATGTAATAAAATAATAATAAAAAATAACAATAATAAAAACAATAATAATTAAATACTAATAATAAATTGTATCAATATAAAACTTAAATTTATATATTTTAGATATAATAAAACCTATATTATAAGAAGATTAAATCTTTATCTGCATTGATCACTGGTAAAAATATTTTTTTTTCTTTATTGATTGCATTGGTAATATTTTGCCAAAATTTTCTTTTGTTTTTTCTATGCTTATAATTAAATTCATTGTTTTCGATTCTTATTTTTCAATAAAATATTTGATTTCCTCATCAGTACATTTAGCAACATACATAATGTTTTTAAAAATTTGATCAAAATGAAAATTATCAATAAAATAAATTTTATAAAATTTGTTTTGGTTGGATGCAATTTTAATTTTATGAAACAAATGAATATTGATTAAAAAAATATACAACAAAGAAATAATGAACGATAAATAAAAGTAAAAAAATTTAAATGCAATATTTTCATTTTTTGAAAAAAGAATTTTTTTAAAGTAAAATGCAATCAAATCAATATATTACTAATTTAAGAAATTTTATTTAATGAATATTCTCGGAAGTTTGAATTATAATTACATAGAATACATTTCGTTCATTTAATTAGAATATCACAGATAATTATCACAAGTCAGATAAATTAGATAAATTAATGAATATTTTATTAAATCATAATTACATACAAAGCCAAATGATTAAACAATTATTATGACTCCATTAAGAGATAAAAATACATTCAAAGTTTTATTATAAGTCGAGAATGTGGTAATCGATGAACCATCATTAAAAATTTAACGGTC